ACTTTAACCAGAGCTGTCTCTGTACTAAGTTGTGTGTTTGTACAGTAATAGACTGATTTATAATATGGATGTGATGTGTTCAGGTATTTTCTGCTGACATTTAATTTGCTCCGCTGTGTAAAGGTTAATTTGATGCTTTTAATTTGAAACTCAGCTGATGTATGAGGTGGAGTTTCTCTTCTGCTGATTAAAAATATGAATTTATTATCTCTGCTGGGAACCAGCTGATGTTTCTGAAGGGAACCAGATTACTGCCGGACCTGAACAACCGGGGCGGAGCTGGAATCCATTATTAATGTCAATTAGCCAGATAGCTAGTGGCATTATGCTACGATGCTAACATTATCTAACTTAACTCAGCACAGAGCAAAGGGGGCGGGGCTTAGGAACAGGTATGTAGCTGTCAATCACTCACAAGTCCCGCCCCCAGACACACCTTCTCAGCCAATGGGAGGCCTGTCCGTGAAGAGAGAGAGAGAGAGAGAGAGTGAGAGACAGAGAGAGAGAGAGAGAGAAAGACAGAGAGAAAGAGAGACAGAGAGAGAGAGAGAGAGAGACAGACAGAGGGAGAGAGAGAGAGAGAGAGAGAGAGAGAGAGAGAGAGAGAGAGAGAGAAAGACAGAGAGAGAGAGAGAGAAAGACAGAGAGAAAGAGAGACAGAGAGAGAGAGACAGAGGGAGAGAGACAGAGAGAGAGAGAGAGAGAGAGAAAAGACAGAGAGAAAGAGAGACAGAGAGAGAGAGAGAGTGAGAGACAGAGAGAAAGAGAGACAGAGAGTGAGAGAGACAGAGAGAGAGAGACAGAGAGAGACAGACAGAGGAGAGAAGAGAGACAGAGAGAGAGAGAGAGAGAAGACAGACAGAGAGAGAGAGAGAGAAAGACAGAGAGAAAGAGAGACAGAGAGAGAGAGAGAGAGAGAGAGAGAGAGAGAGAGAACAGACAGAGGGAGAGAGAGAGAGAGAGAGAGAGAGAGAGAAAAGACAGAGAGAGAGAGAGAGAGAAAGACAGAGAGAAAGAGAGACAGAGAGAGAGAGAGACAGACAGAGGGAGAGAGAGAAAGACAGAAAGAGAGACAGAGGGAGAGAGAGAGAAAGAGAGAGAAGGAGAGAGACAGAGGGAGAGAGAGACAGAGAGAAAGAGAGAGATGAGAGAGAGAGAGTGAGAGACAGAGAGAGAAAGACAGAGAGAAAGAGAGAGAGAGACAGAGGGAGAGAGAGAGAGAGAGAGAGAGAGAGAGAGAGACAGAGGGAGAGAGAGACAGAAGGAGAGAGAGAGAGAGAGAGAGCGACAGAGTGAGAGAGAGAGAGAGACAGAGGGAGAGAGAAAGAGAGAGAGAGAGACGACAGAGTGAGAGAGAGAGAGAGACAGAGGGAGAGAGAGAGAGAGAGAAAGAGAGAAGGAGAGAGAGAGAGAGAGAGAGAGAGAGAGAAGGAGAGCTGATCGAGGCTCAGCAGTCTCAGTGGCGGGAACGGACAGAGACGGACGGCGGGAAGATCTCAGGTGAAAGAAGAAGAAGAAAGTCTCTGGTTCATGGAAACATGGCGGGCTCCTCCAGCACTCCTCTGTCCCGGACCTCCAGCCCACCCACCGACTCTCTCTTCCACCCCGACCCGCCTTACAGCGCTCCCAACCCGGCCAGCTCTCCTCGCCTCCCCGCCGCTCGCCTGGCTGGAGCGTTCCTGAGCGGCGGCAGCGGCAGAGTCCCGGTCAGTGTCAACGGGACGAGCGGCGGAGTTTCCGCTGCGGCCGCTCCGCACACCGAGTGTCAGATGGTTGAAGTTCACGGTGTGAAGGTGGCTTCGTTCACGGTGAACGGCGTGGAGCTCATTTGCCTGCCGCAGGTGTTCGAGCTGTTCCTGAAGCACCTGGTGGGCGGGCTGCACACCGTCTACACCAAGCTGAAGCGGCTAGACATCAGCCCGGTGGTCTGCACCGTGGAGCAGGTGCGCGTCCTGCGGGGACTCGGAGCCATCCAGCCCGGAGTCAACCGCTGCAAGCTCATCACCAGGGCCGACTTCGAGACGCTGTACCGGGACTGCACCAACGCCAGGTGGGCCGGAGGAGTTTGATGGGCAGTTCTTATCAGTTCACACATAAAATTAAACAATAAAAGAAATAATAAAAACAGATTATTCACATATTTTCTCATTTATTGTGACTGGAAAAAACTTCACACAAGATTTTATATATTTTTAATTTCGGTTGTATTTAATTTAACTGAATTTAATTCCCTAACATGAAGATCTGAACACTGATTATTGATCTTTTAATCGATCAAACTTTAATATATTCAGTGTTCAACCCCCGCAGACAAGACTGTTTTTAAACTGCTACAACAAACAAACCTTTTACACTGTTTATATTTTATTTCCACTTGTACAGATTAGTTTTTGTCAAGTTTAATGTTCTGCTCATATATTTTACTCTCCATGTCCTACTAATGTTTATACTTTCATTTATAGTTTCATAACTTCTATTATATTTTGTAATATTTTTATTTGTGATTTTCTTTGTTCTCTGTGTTGCTGAATTTCTCATAAGGGGATCAATAAAGGAATATCTTAACTTAATGATTATTCTCTCATAATAATAAATACATATATAGATAATTAGTCTAATAATAATAAATATAAATATATAAATAGATAATTAGTGTAATAATAATAAATATAAATATAAAGACATATACTCTCCCCAACTTGAACAAACTCACATTTCCAGTAAAAATGCAGAAGAGAGTGTCTGTGTGATTATTGATCTGTTATAAATAAACTGAATGGAATCATTGACAAACAGACGATCAATACGATAAATATTCTAATCTATTAGGCTGTTATTAATAATATGATTGATTATGAATTAATATGATTATAAATATTAGTGCAGCAGTGTATGTAAATATAATAATAATAATAATAATAATATGTTATATTCTGTATTCGTCTATAACGTAATATCATCCATCACTGATCAATATGCTCATTCACTGATCAATCTGCTCATTCACCAATAATCAATGATCAAAGTATTTGCCGATTGATTGAATTTCACTCGTCAATAAAGCAGCTGCTCATTTTAGTTTCAATAATCAATAACTCTGTGACAGCTGATCAGTTATTAACACCCTCACTAATGTCATAATGAATGGATTTATTGATCGATCAGATCAGAATATTGATGATAAATAAAATCAATAATTCAGGCTGATGCGTCCTGATAAATAAATATAATCTGTGTATATTTATTGATTCATTGATTACTTATTGATTACACATCAGGAACATCTCAGTTCACTGAACTGGAACAGGTTTGTTTTTTTTGCCTGAAAATGTAAAAATAAAATTAATAGTTCCTTATTGATCCTGCCGATCAACTTATCAGTGAATTGATTAATAGTTTTAGCTCCGTTATTAACTATTGCATTGATTGATTTAGATACAGTTAGAGGTTATTATAATGTATTGATTAATATTAATATTAATCAGTGAATCAGACGTTTGTGTGTGTATGTGTGTGCACGTGTGTATCCATATGGACAAACGTGTGTTAGTGTGTTAGCAACTGTAAAAAACTGTAATGAGACAGTGTTTATATAACACTACATAAGGTTGTAAATAAAAGGAGACAAATAATATGAATAAGAAACTTTTATTTGTTGACTATTTAAATCAAACTGTCATCAGATTTCTTTCTACTTATTACTATTCTACTAATGTGAAAAGTGTCCTGAGATAACTTCTGTTATGAATTGGCGCTATACAAATAAAATTGAATTAAATTTAATTATTTTAATAATAATAATAATAATAATAATAATAATAATACATTTTATTTATAAGCACTTTTCTGCATACTGAAAGACACTTTACATAAAGACAACATAAAAGCAGCAAAACAACATAACATTTCTTTTAGAAACTATTTATTCACTGAATTTATAGTTTCTATAAATAAACACACACACACACACACACACAGCCTCCAGGTGTGTGTGTGCGTGTGTATTAACTGTGTTTAATCACATTTAAGTAGATTGAAAGTGGATCAAAATGTTTTCTCTCTGATCAAATTATGTAAATTAGCCTCAACTAATTATGGAATTAACAAAGAGAGACTGTGTGTTACTGAGTGTGTGTGTGTGTGTGTGTGTGTGTGTGTGTGTTTCTGTTACTGTGTGTGTTAGTGTGTGTGTCGGCTATAATGTGAACAGGCTGTTTGTGTTAATAACCTTTAATCTCCAGATTATTATTAGTCTGATGTTGGTGAATGTGTGTGTGTGTGTGTGTGTGTGTGTGTGTGTGTGTGTGTGTGTGTGTGTGTTGTGTGTGTGTGTGTGTGTGTGTGTGTGTGTGTGTGTGTGATTGATGGGTTTATTGAACAGGTGTATAAATATGAACATAAGGAGGAGATGTTGTAGTTTCAGCAGCAGTCAGCTGAACACATCACAATGTAACAATGTGACAAAAAACATCATCAACATGTAATAATAATAATAATAATATACTATAACAGGTCATGTGTCAATTACACAGCCAAATGTATCAATTTATCCTCTAACATCATAATACAGATTACTAAACATAATGTATTATAATGTAACAGAGCGTTAGGTAATGTACAGAAATGTAACATTAAGTTGACATAATGTAAGGTAAGATAATGTAACATAAAGTTAACATAATGTAAGGTAAGATAATGTAACATTAAATTAACATAATGTAAGGTAAGATAATGTAACATTAAGCTAAAATAATGTAAGTTAACATAATGTAAGGTAAGATAATGTAACATTAAGTTAACATAATGTAAGGTAAGATAATGTAACATTAAATTAACATAATGTAAGGTAAGATAATGTAACATTAAGCTAAAATAATGTAAGTTAACATAATGTAAGGTAAGATAATGTAACACTAGGTTAACATAATGTAAGGTAAAATAATGTAACATTAAGTTAACATAATGTAAGGTAACATAATGTAACATTAAGTTAAAATAATGTAAGTTAACATAATGTAAGGTAAGATAATGTAACACTAAGTTAACATAATGTAAGGTAAGATAATGTAACATTAAGTTAAAATAATGTAAGTTAACATAATGTAACGTAAGATAATGTAACACTAAGTTAACATAATGTAAGGTAAGATAATGTAACATTAAGTTAAAATAATGTAAGTTAACATAATGTAAGGTAAGATAATGTAACATTAAGTTAACATAAAGTAAGGTAAGATAATGTAACACTAAGTTCACATAATGTAAGGTAAGATAATGTAACATTAAGTTAACATAATGTAAGGTAAGATAATGTAACATTAAGTCAACATAATGTAAGGTAAGATAATGTAACATTAAGTTAACCTAATGTAAGGTAAGATAATGTAACATTAAATTAACATAATGTAAGGTAAGATAATGTAACATTAAGCTAAAATAATGTAAGTTAACATAATGTAAGGTAAGATAATGTAACATTAAGTTAACATAATGTAAGGTAAGATAATGTAACATTAAATTAACATAATGTAAGGTAAGATAATGTAACATTAAGCTAAAATAATGTAAGTTAACATAATGTAAGGTAAGATAATGTAACACTAGGTTAACATAATGTAAGGTAAAATAATGTAACATTAAGTTAACATAATGTAAGGTAACATAATGTAACATTAAGTTAAAATAATGTAAGTTAACATAATGTAAGGTAACATAATGTAACATTAAGTTAAAATAATGTAAGTTAACATAATGTAAGGTAAGATAATGTAACATTAGGTTAACATAAAGTAAGGTAAGATAATGTAACACTAAGTTCACATAATGTAAGGTAAGATAATGTAACATTAAGTTAACATAATGTAAGGTAAGATAATGTAACATTAAGTTCAAATAATGTAAGTTAACGTAATGTAAGTTAAAATAATGTAAGGTAAGATAATGTAACACTAAGTTAAAATAATGCAAGTTAAAATAATGTAACATTAAGTTAGAATAATGTAAGGTAAGATAATGTAACACTAAGTTAACATAATGTAAGGTAAGATAATGTAACATTAAGTTAAAATAATGTAAGGTAAGATAATGTAACATTAAGTTAAAATAATGTAAGGTAAGATAATGTAACATTAAGTTAACATAATGTAAGGTAAGATAATGTAACACTAAGATAACATAATGTAAGGTAAGATAATGTAACACTAAGTTAACATAATGTAAGGTAAGATAATGTAACAATACGTTTACATAATGTAAGGTAAGATAATGTAACACTAAGTTAAAATAATGTAAGGTAAGATAATGTAACAATAAGTTAACATAATGTAAGATAAGATAATGTAACATTAAGTTAACATAATGCAAGTTAACATAATGTAAGGTAAGATAATGTAACAATAAGTTAACATAATGTAAGGTAAGATAATGTAACAATAAGTTAACATAATGTAAGATAAGATAATGTAACAATAAGTTAACATAATGCAAGTTAACATAATGTAAGGTAAGATAATGTAACACTAAGTTAACACAATGTAAGGTAAGATAATGTAACACTAAGTTAAAATAATGTAAGGTAAGATAATCTAACATTAAGTTAACATAATGTAAGGTAAGATAATGTAACACTATGTTAACATAATGTAAGGTAAGATAATGTAACAATCAGTTAACATAATGTAAGGTAAGATAATGTAACAATAAGTTAACATAATGTAAGGTAAGATAATGTAAGGTAAGATAATGTAACACTAAGTAAACACAATGTAAGGTAAGATAATGTAACAATAAGTTAACATAATGTAAGGTAAGATAATGTAACAATAAGTTAACATAATGTAAGGTAAGATAATGTAACACTAAGTTAACATAATGTAAGGTAAGATAATGTAACAATAAGTTAACATAATGTAAGGTAAGATAATGTAACAATAAGTTAACATAATGTAAGTTAACATGTACAGAGTGATACAGCCGGATACAGTGATACAGCCTGATACAGAGTGATACAGCCTGATACAGTGATACAGCCGGATACAGAGTGATACAGTGTGATACAGAGTGATACAGTCTGATACAGAGTGATACAGCCGGATACAGAGTGATACAGTGTGATACAGAGTGATACAGCCTGATACAGAGTGATACAGAGTAATACATCCTGATACAGAGTGATACAGCCTGATACAAAGTGATACAGAGTGATACAGCCTGATACAAAGTGATACAGAGTGATACAGCCTGATACAAAGTGATACAGAGTGATACAAAGTGATACAGAGTGAACTGGGATCAAGGACAGTTTGTCACAGTTTAGTTATCTGTTATCAATGCTTATACACTGATAAACAACATTTATTCAACTTCCATCATTATACAACATATCTGTCAGTTAACTAATCCATTAAAATTACACAACTAATACTTTTTACTGTTAATGTCACTAATTTTATATGTTATAAATGTATTAACAGTATTAAACTTAAATTTAACAGTTTAATCTATTAAATAAACAGTAAAAAATTATAGATATTCAAATATATTTTCTTTTAATAAGCACTAATGTTTTACAGAAAAAAAATGTAATTTTTTTTTTACATGTTTTAATTAAAATCTATATTTGACTGATTTTTTTCACTTTCATCAGAGAACAGATTTAAATATGAACATATATACAATATTTAAAATATGTGATATTTGATATAAGATGTTTTAACGGCGTCTGAATCTGACAAACTGTTAGAAGTGTCTCAGGGGACAATTGACACTGACTGTAACAGGCCTTCAGGAGAGAGAGAGGAGATGAAACAGATTAATTCATGAAGTTAAAACATGAGATTAACCTGGAATATTAACACAGTAGTGTTAGAGTATTGATGAATTATTGATCTGGTCTTTCATTCAAAAAGGACTCTGTCTCTTCCTCAGCTCTCGACCGGGTCGTCCTCCGAAGCGAACACTGGGCGTTGCCACAATGACTGATGGCTCCAGACTCCTCCCACACGGTCTGATAAGCCCCGCCCTGCTGTCAAAGACAGGTAAGTCAAACACCCCCGAGAGAGAAAGGAAAGTAGTAGTAAGTACTAGTAAGAATACTAACTAGTACTAACAACAACTCCGCCTGCAGTAAAAATGCTAGCAGGAACGCTTGCTAGCAGCCTGGTCAGCTTGGCTACCGGTGTCAGAACTACAGCTATGGCGTACGCTGAACTCCATTCAGGAACAGTACAACCTGGAATCTGCTGAAAATGTGTGAGCGTCAACCAAACTCCATTCAGGAAACAAGCGTTTTAAAAGTTGTTAGCTTGACGTCTGCGGACTGACCGACAAAGTATGAATCATAATGTTGTTACTTCAGCATCATATTCATATTCAGTTCAATCCAGAACCAGAATCAGCAGTCGGACCGGGATTGAACACAGCCTCCGAAAGCTTGAAGATGCTTGTTTTACATGAGGTGTAGAGGAGGAATAACCAGACAGACGCTGGATTATAATAGAAACTCTACCTGAGGCTCTACCTCAGAGAGCCTGGTGGGTGGAGTTGGGTCATCAGCCAGATTAAGTTCACCTGGTCTCTCTTTCTCTTTCTCTTTCTCTCTCTCTCTCTCTCTCTCTCTCTTTTGGCTTTCACTCTGTTTGGTTGAATTTGTTCGTCTTTAGCTTCATTTCTCTTTTAGTTTTGTTAAAGATACTTTTAGTTCCAACTCATGTGTGTTCTGCCCTTCGTTGTCCAGCCTTGAGCCTTGTGATAATAACACACATATATATTATAATATATAACACATTTATATTTATAGATTATAATATATAACACATTTATATTTATATATTAAAATATATAACACATTTATATTTATTGTATTATATAACACACATATATATTATATTATATAACACATTTATATTTATATATTATATTATATAACACACATATATATTATATTATATAACACACATATATATTATATTATATAACACATTTTTATTTATATATTATAATATATATGTGTGTTATATATTATAATACTGGATTATAATGAGAGTGCATTGTGTGAGTTTGACCCTGGATTCAGCCCGTCAGGCAACAGGCCTGTTTGTTTAATAGAGCAATAATAATAATAATAATAATAATATCTGTATGGTTTAACACTGCTGCAGGTTTCTGTCTGTCTTACACTGTCACTGTGTGTGTGTGTGTGTGTGTGTGTGTGTGAGAGATTAGAGCTATAATTAGCATGCTTAATTAGCAGATGTCAAAATGACTGACAGATTGGAGTCTGACCTGAAGCAGTGTGTGTGTGTGTGTGTGTGTGTGTGTGTGTGTGTGTGTGTGTGTGTGTGTGTGTGTGTGAAGGCGTTGGATAAAATCCTCTTTAAGGAGATCATATAAATGTGTTTGTTGATTCTTGTTGAAGCTGCAGACAGATGAGAGTCAGACAGACACCTGGTTCTGATTGGACCGTTACCTGAGACCAGAACTGAAGCTTTATCAGTCGATTTGAAACCGAAGTGCAACAGGGGTAAAACCCGCATTATGTTTACTGTATATTGTAACTGTATATTGTGTGTACGGGGTTTCCCTCTGAGAGAACACAATTACTGGACTGATCAATCAGTTCTTGAGGAGTCCTGTATTGTCGACAGTCCATGTTGTTATCATGTGTTAACTCTACCCTCCAAATAAAGGGACACACACTGACAGCCCTCCATTATAGAGTTATATTATACATCCAGTTGTCAACACCTGCAACCATACAAACAGTAATAAATGAAAGTAGGACACAGAGTGAACTAGAGCTGCCCTCTAATGGTGGACTGAACCATCTCAGTCAGTCTCAGTGAAACCAAACCAACGTTAGACTGCGTTCAGGAGCTGCTCCTCGTCCCCGGGACCAAAGTATCAGAGGATTGTTGCTACACGGACCTTTTCTCTTGTAACACAGGAAGTCTCTGACTGCTGCACTGCTGCATATGCTAACTGTACTAGCTGCTGTGAGCTAGTTAACGGTCCTATTAGCTGTCTGTACCCAGACTGGGAGCTGGAAGGACGGGGGGAGTTTAAACACTGCTAGTGTAGCAGCAGAAGAATTCAATTCAATTCAATTCAATTCAATTTTATTTGTATAGCGCCAATTCATAACAGAAGTTATCTCAGGACACTTTTCAAATAGAGCAGGTCTAGACCGAACTCTTTAACATTAATTACAGAGACCCAACAGTACCACCATGAGCAAGACCTTGGAGACAAGGGCAAGGAAAAACTGCCTGTTAAAAGGCAGAAACCTAGGACAGATCCTCCGGCTCTAGGTGGGTGGTCGTCTGTCTCGACCAGTTGGGGTGAGAGAGAGAGAGAGAGAGAGAGAGAGAGAGAGAGAGAGAGAGGCAGAAAGAGAGAGCGAGAGACAGACAGACAGACAGGTGCACAGCAACAACAGTATTGGCAATGGCAGTCAAGCAGGACCATGGCAGGAGGCTCCACCAGGATCCATGAGAACCTGCGAGACGAGAAAGCACAAGAACTCCGGGGAAGAAGTGAAGTTAGTAACATGCATTAAAGGGACATGAATGAGTGCAGAAAGAGAGAGGAAGAGAGTAGCTCAGTGCACCATGGGAAATCCCCCGATAGTCTAGGCCTATAGCAGCATAACTAAGGGATGGTTCAGGACTCACCTGATCCAGCCCTAACTATAAGCTTTATCAAAGAGGAATGTCTTAAGCCTACTCTTGAATGTGGTGAGCCTACTCTTGAGCCACAGAACCGGAGCGGGGCCCAAACCAGCCACAGAACCGGAGCGGGGCGGACTGACGGAGGCCAGCTGATGTCCAGCGGCTCCAACCAGGACTCTGACTCTGGGGATGAAGACCCGGCGGGTTCAGGCAGCAACAGGAGAGGAAGAGGAGGAAGAGGAGCCAGTTTGTAGCCAGTTAATTATCAGTAACTGTTAACGTCATCCATCATCCATCGTATCGATCAGTCAGGATCAGTTTCAGTGAAGTTGGAAGTTATTTATTCCGTGTGTTGAACAACCAGACTGTGTGATGTTACACTGTGTTTGAATAAATGAACTGAAGGATCAGTCTCAGCAGCAGCTAGAGATAAACAGTGAGTGTCAACGTAAAGCTGTATGGCGGAGGTCAGATGCTTTATAAAACAGCTGCTGGTTGTGAATCAGTAATTTCATCGCTTGCTGCTGCAGCTGTTCAGCTTCAGCCGATCAGAACGATTTCTGTCACCGAAGGCCTCCACCACCAATGCAATGCTCTCCGTCGGCTAGAAACCACACAGAGGAGGAAGACAGTGTGTCAGGACCTGGAGCTGTGGCTGATCAAGGTCCCTGTGTCTGATCCAGGTCTCTGTGTCTTCTGTAGACCTGCAGTCTGATGAACCGAGTCTTTGTGTTCAGTTTAATCCAACAGAGACGCTCCGCTGGTCACAGAGGACGAACCACATACTGAACCTTCACCTCCACCTGACGGACTGACAGCTTAATGAAAGCAGCTCACACACACACTGACAAACACACACACACACACACACACACACTGACACACACGCACACACTGACACACACGCACACACACACACACACACACACACACACACACACACACACTCAGGTTTTTATTAAAAATACTCAAACTGCCACATCTTGTGACCGAGGTCAGAGACTGAGAGATCAAAGGAACAAGAAAATGATTAACTCTGTACACACACACACACACACACACACACACACACATACACGCTCACTGTACAGACACACATAACCCCCCCCCCCCACACACACACACACAGTTAATTAAAATGTTGTAAAGCTTGAGAATAAAGTGAAGATAAACTCAGCAAGAACCAAAACAAAGAGCTCCTGTCTGTAACCTTAAACTGTAGCTAACAGCGCCACCAGTGGTCGTTCATTAAACTGTAGCTAACAGCGCCACCAGTGGCCGTTCAGTGAACTGTAGCTAACAGCGCCACCAGTGGTCGTTCAGTGAACTGTAGCTAACAGCGCCACCAGTGGCCGTTCATTAAACTGTAACTAACAGCGCCACCAGTGGTCGTTCATTAAACTGTAACTAACAGCGCCACCAGTGGGCGTTCATTAAACTGTAACTAACAGCGCCACCAGTGGTCGTTCATTAAACTGTAGCTAACAGCGCCTCCAGTGGTCGTTCATTAAACTGTAGCTAACAGCGCCACCAGTGGTCGTTCATTAAACTGTAACTAACAGCGCCACCAGTGGTCGTTCATTAAACTGTAGCTAACAGCGCCTCCAGTGGGCGTTCATTAAACTGTAGCTAACAGCGCCACCAGTGGCCGTTCATTAAACTGTAGCTAACAGCGCCACCAGTGGGCGTTCATTAAACTGTAACTAACAGCGCCACCAGTGGGCGTTCATTAAACTGTAGCTAACAGCGCCACCAGTGGTCATTCAGTGAACTGTAGCTAACAGCGCCACCAGTGGTCGTTCATTAAACTGTAGCTAACAGCGTCACCAGTGGTCGTTCATTAAACTGTAGCTAACAGCGCCTCCAGTGGTCGTTCATTAAACTGTAGCTAACAGCGCCACCAGTGGTCGTTCAGTGAACTGTAGCTAACAGCGCCACCAGTGGTCGTTCATTAAACTGTAGCTAACAGCGCCACCAGTGGGCGTTCATTAAACTGTAACTAACAGCGCCACCAGTGGGCGTTCATTAAACTGTAGCTAACAGCGCCACCAGTGGTCATTCAGTGAACTGTAGCTAACAGCGCCACCAGTGGTCGTTCATTAAACTGTAGCTAACAGCGTCACCAGTGGTCGTTCATTAAACTGTAGCTAACAGCGCCTCCAGTGGTCGTTCATTAAACTGTAGCTAACAGCGCCTCCAGTGGTCGTTCAGTGAACTGTAGCTAACAGTGCCACCAGTGGTCGTTCATTAAACTGTAGCTAACAGCGCCTCCAGTGGTCGTTCATTAAACTGTAGCTAACAGCGCCACCAGTGGTCGTTCATTAAACTGTAACTAACAGCGCCACCAGTGGTCGTTCATTAAACTGTAGCTAACAGCGCCTCCAGTGGTCGTTCATTAAACTGTAGCTAGGCCACCAGTGGCCGTTCATTAAACTGTAGCTAACAGCGCCACCAGTGGGCGTTCATTAAACTGTAACTAACAGCGCCACCAGTGGGCGTTCATTAAACTGTAGCTAACAGCGCCACCAGTGGTCATTCAGTGAACTGTAGCTAACAGCGCCACCAGTGGTCGTTCATTAAACTGTAGCTAACAGCGTCACCAGTGGTCGTTCATTAAACTGTAGCTAACAGCGCCTCCAGTGGTCGTTCATTAAACTGTAGCTAACAGCGCCACCAGTGGTCGTTCAGTGAACTGTAGCTAAAGCGCCACCAGTGGTCGTTCATTAAACTGTAGCTAACAGCGCCACCAGTGGTCGTTCATTAAACTGTAGCACAGCGCCACCAGTGGTCGTTCATTAAACTGTAGCTAACAGCGCCACCAGTGGTCGTTCATTAAACTGTAGCTAACAGCGCCTCCAGTGGTCGTTCATTAAACTGTAGCTAACAGCGCCACCAGTGGTCTTCATTAAACTGTAGCTAACAGCGCCACCAGTGGTCGTTCATTAAACTGTAACTAACAGCGCCACCAGTGGTCGTTCATTAAACTGTAGCTAACAGCGCCACCAGTGGTCGTTCATTAAACTGTAGCTAACAGCGTCACCAGTGGCCGTTCATTAAACTGTAGCTAACAGCGCCACCAGTGGTCGTTCATTAAACTGTAGCTAACAGCGCCACCAGTGGTCGTTCATTAAACTGTAGCTAACAGCTGCAATAGTTCGCCGTTTACACATCAGCCAACAGCACGAAGCAACCAACACCAGACCCACACCGCACAGCCGAGACACAGCCAGCCGGACAACCCCAGTTAGCTTAGCTACAGTTAGCTAGCTGGATGCCCCTACCTCACATCACTCTTGGCTACTACCTAACATATGCACTCAGTATTTTGCTAGCGATAATGTTAGCGTGCACACGGAACAACAATAATAATAAATAAATAATAAACAATAATGATAATATATAAAATACAGATCATCAGTTGATTGTGTGTCGTGTTTCAGCAGGTTGGACTACATATATATATATATATATATATATAAATATAGTTTATGTATCAGAGATAATCAGAGGATAAACAGGTCAGTTTGACAAATTGATCCTGTTATTTATTGAGGCAGTTTGTTTCCTGTCTGATCGGAGAATAAAATAGTTTTATTTTCTTTACAGGAAGTCATTCATCAAATAAAGAGTTGTTGTGTTACAGTCGGGACTTCCATTTCATACATGAAGTTTCCTGCTGCAGAGAGTTAAATAACAGCATCAGTCACTGTCGGGTTGATTTATTGATTCTGTTTACAGAGCTGACCGATCAACTGTAATATTTATATCTGCATCTGAAATTTAACCACTGTCTAATGTTATATAATATAATATAATTTAATATAGTAAAATATAATATAATAAAATATAATAAAATGTTATATAATATAATATAATGTTATTTAACATAATATAATTTAATATAAAGTTATATAACATAATATAATTTAATATAATGTAAAGTGATATAATGTTGTATAACATAATATGATAAAATGTTATATAATATAATATAATGTTATACAGTATAATAAAATCTAATATAATTTAATATAATAAAATGTTAAATAATATAATCACCTCTTTACTCTGAAATTACATATAAATATTATAAACAATAATCAATAATAACCATTATATATCAACCCTGCCAGTGACTGAAGGGAGGTTGGTCCTTTTTGATGGTGCTAGCAATTTCCCTCCGCTAACAGTCTTTATGCTAAGCTAACGCCCTCCTTGATCAGAACTCCTCCATTCCTCTCCTCATCTCTCTCCTCTCTCCTCTCCTGGACTCTCTCCGGTCTCCAGACGGAAGCTGTTCCACTTTCAGAGAACTTTCTTTGTGTCTTAACGAGCCGCAGGGTCGCTGTCCGCTCGTTAGTCCCTCGTTAATACTAATTGAATTAATTAGAAGAGGCTGTTAATTGGGCCGAGTGGCTGCAGGGAGAGAGAGGCGGTGGAGAGACAACCGCAGTCACTGGAGACTCTGAGGCTGCCAGGGTTATTAATTATTGATCAATCACCAAAACAGCGATCACCTTCAGCTCTGAAGATTCATTAATTACTTCCTGTTCTGTCCTCCAGCGCCACCTTCAGAACAACGGCTCCATTCCATTTAGTGTAGCACAGCCATTACAACAGTTGCCTTCGTCGCTGTTAACACCTGAGTTTACCCTCCTTGCCGCTGTGAACCTTTGACCCTGCTTCCTGTTTCCTGTCACATGTACCTGCCCAGCTCAGGTGTGTCACGTGATCTGTCTCACCTGTGTTAGGTGTCTCACTTGCATTCCTCTGCAGGTCTGACGGCGGCGATGGCCGAGGCTCTGAAGCTGCAGAAGATGAGGATGATGATGGGTTTCCATGGCAACTGCGATCAGCAGCGATTTCACAACGGAGCCGAGTCCGAGAACGACGACACAGGTACACTGTGACATCATCGGCGTCAGTCTCACCTGAACCTCAAAGAGCAGCACGAGAATTTGTCTCCTCATCTCCTCTCATTGTCTCCTGTGTCCTCGTCTCCTAGGAGGCAGTGAAGGATCCTGGGAGAAGGAGCAGCGTCTCCTCTCTCCTCCTCCCTCCTCGGTTGTTGCTCCTCCTCCTGGTTCGGCGTCTCTTCACCTCAACGCTCTGCAGCAGCACAGCTCGCTGTTGGCCAACCGTGAGTCAGCGGCCCACTCTGTTTGTTTTTATGTTAGCTTAGCATCGTAGCGCCTCAGTATTTTATATTCTCCTGCTGCCTCCTCAGGTCTGTCAGACTTTCCTTTTATGGTCATGCCACACCCCCTCCTCCCTGTGGGCCTGCCCCCTGCCAGCGTTGCCATGGCGGTGAACCAGATGAGTCAGCTGAGCAGTTTGGCAAATATGGCCGCCGTGTCACAGGTTCAGAGAGAAGAGAGCAAGGTGACTGCTAGCTAACACCACTAGTGCTAATGCTAACACTAAAGATGCTATCAGTGATCAATATTGTAATATTATACACTAATGCTAACAGCCAAGATTGCGCTAATGCTAACAAAACTGTTTCTAAAATTCTCACTGCTAACTGGTAGCATTAGTGCTGTTAGCATTAGCAGCTAACAGCACTATTGCTAAGAGTGCTTGAAATGCTATGCCTAATAATGCTAATGTAGCCACGCTAATGCCAACAGTGTAACAAGCTCCACCGAATCCCTGCTACTGCTTATAGTGCTAACAGTGTTAATGCTAACATTATGAATGCTAACAAACCTGTTTGTAAAATTCTTTCTGCTAGCTGTGCTAATGCTAACAGTGCTAATGCTAACACTCTGCTCTGTGATCAGCATTTTCCTCCAGGAAGCCCCTCCCCCTGCCCCTCCCCCAGTGATGATGAGCTCCACCCCCAAGAACCAACCAGCCGATCACCTTCCAGAGCATCTTCATTATCCTCATCATCACCCTCTCCACCACACACACTGGAGCTGGGTCAGCGCACACACACACACACAAACACACACACATAAACAAATATAAATAAATATAAATACTGGTTGTTGTGATGAACTCCACAGACGGTGAGATTGCAGAGCAAGAAAACAACATGAAGAAGGTGTTGAAGGAAAAAGGTGAGTGAGCGACGGATGTAGAGCAGATGGTCGCACAGTAACTCGTCCGGAGGCGTTTGGACTCGAGTTGTTCTGATGTTTTATTGATGAACACACACTGAGTTCACATTCCTTATTCATCACTGATCTTATTTGGACGACCGACATTAGAATGACCACAGTCTCATATTGGATGTTATTATTTTATATAAATATATACATAACAAAAAAAGACACATAAACAAAATCAATTCTACTTTTCCATTTTTATTTCCCCTTCATGTCTTTACTTTGTTTCTATCTGCAGATGACAGCCTGTTGCCCCTCCCCCTCCTCAAACCGACCTATGAGAAGCTGCCGCTCACCTCTCAATCACTGTCAATCAACCACGCACACCCCGCCTTCACTCCATTCCTATTGGCCGAGGGTCTGTCCTCCATGGAGACACTGCTGACCAACATACAGGTGACAGAGTTAGCTGAAATTACTCAGAGTCGAGGACGTACAGACAATAATATACAGACAATAATGCACAGACAGTAATATACAGACAATAATGCACAGACAATAACATACAGACAATAATGTACAGACAATAATGCACAGACAATAATATACAGACAAGAATGCACAGATAATAATGCACAGATAATAATGTACAGGCGATAATGTACAGACAATAACATACAGACAATAATGTACAGACAATAATGCACAGACAATAATATACAGACAAGAATGCACAGACAATAATATACAGACAATAATATACAGACAATAATGTACAGACAATAATGCACAGACAATAATGCACAGATAATAATGTACAGGCGATAATGCACAGACGATAATATACAGACAATATTGTACAGACAATAATGTACAGACAATAATATACAGACAATAATGCACAGACAATAATGCACAGACAATAATGTACAGATAATAATGTACAGGCGATAATGCACAGACAATAATATACAGACAATATTGTACGGACAATAATGTCATGATGATAATGCACAGACAATAATATACAGACAATATTGTACGGACAATAATATCATGATGATAATGGACAGACGATAATATACAGACAATATTGTACAGACAATAATGTACTGATGATAATGGACAGACGATAATATATAATGTACATTATATATATATATATATATATATATAATGTACAGACAGAAATGACATAGAGACGATAATGTACAGACGATAACGGACTCCAGGTGGAGTCACAGTGAATCACTAGTGCAGTGTGTGACTGTTTGTTTTCAGGGTCTCCTGAAGGTGGCGGTGCAGAGCGCTCGCTGTCAGGACAAACAAAACCAGATGGAGAGGAAGGAGTTAAAGCTGGAGCTGGACAGAGAGAGAGACGCCCGACAGACGCTACAGAGACAGCTGAGTTCTGAACTACAGACCAGAGGTGAGACAGGTTGTAGAACTACAGACCAAAGGTGAGACAGTTTGTAGAAAGAAGTTTCCGTAAAGACATCAGTAAAGATTTTCTTCCACTTACTAATTTAAAATGCATTTTTAAAGATAAAGGTATTATTATATGAAATTAAGGTATTATTTATGAAATAAAGGTATTATTATATGAAATTAAGGTATTATTTATGAAATAAAGGTACTATTATATGAAATTAAGGTATTATTTATGAAATAAAGGTACTATTATATGAAATTAAGGTATTATTTATGAAATAAAGGTACTATTATATGAAATTAAGGTATTATTTATGAAATAAAGGTATTATAATATGAAATAAAGGTATGATGTTCGGTGTCGTCAGTGTCAATCCAGAGGAGGCTGAAGAAGGAGAAGAAGGCGAAGAGGAAGCTGCAGGAGGCGTTAGACTTTGAGTCGAGGAGGAGAGAGCAGGTGGAGAGAGCGCTCAAACACTCTGACTCCCTCACAGGTAAACACATACACCTCTTCCTCTTCCTACAGTATTTCTTTAGATGTGGAGTAGTGGAAGGAGAATAAAACAGCTGGACTCTCAGGAAGCTAACGTTCATTAGCAGCCGTTAGCTGAAGATGTATTGAGTTTGTTGTTTTTCAGATGCAGTGATTGATGACAGTGAAGTGACAGAGAACAAGGAGCGGGAAAATTCTGCAGCCCAAGGTAACAACAACTTACAGTATTTATTCTGTATTTATATATTAAACTGGCTACAGAGAGCTAACGTTAAGCTAGCAAGAGTCAAAGTCAATCACACTGCGTACGGTTGATAAACAGTAAATATGTTTTCTATCACTGAATATTGATTGATCGATTGATGAGGAGATAACGGTAAGTCGTTGTTACAGTGACTGACTGTGAATAGTGTGTGTGTGTGTGTGTGTGTGTGTGTGTGTGTGTGAAATTGAATCAGGAATCAATCAGGAAGCACGCAGCAGAACCACACACACACACACACAAACACACACACACAGTGTTTTCAGTGTGTGATAATAAGATTCATCAATCAGAGCTGACGTGTCGGTTTGTTGTTTCCACCTGTTGGACAGTTTGTCCGTTTGTTACCGTGGTAACTGATGGTTACGTCCAATTCAATTCAATTCAATTCAGTTTTATTTGTATAGCGCCAATTCATAACAGAAGTTATCTCAGGACACTTTGCAAATAGAGCAGGTCTAGACCGAACTCTTTATAACATTATTTACAGAGACCCAACAGTACCACCATGAGCAAGACCTTGGCGACAAGGGCAAGGAAAAACTGCCTGTTAAAAGGCAGAAACCTAGGACAGATCCTTCGGCTCTAGGTGGGTGGTCGTCTGTCTCGACCAGTTGGGGTGAGAGAGACAGAGAGAGAGACAGACAGACAGACAGACAGACAGACAGGTGCACAGCAACAACAGTATTGGTAATGGCAATCTAGCAGGACCATGGCAGGAGGCTCCACCAGGATCGATAAGAACCTGCGAGACGAGAAAGCACAAGAACTCCGGGGAAGAAGTGAAGTTAGTAACATGCATTAATGGGACATGAATGAGTGCAGAAAGAGAGAGGAAGAGAGGAGCTCAGTGCACCATGGGAAATCCCCCGATAGTCTAGGCCTATAGCAGCATAACTAAGGGATGGTTCAGGACTCACCTGATCCAGCCCTAACTATAAGCTTTATCAAAGAGGAATGTCTTAAGCCTACTCTTGAATGTGGAGAGGGTGTCTGCCTCCCGAACCCCAACTGGAAGCTGGTTCCACAGGAGAGGAGCTTGGTAACTGAAGGCTCTGGCTCCTGTTCTACTTTTAGAGACTATAGGAACCACAAGTAGCCCAGCATTCAGAGAACGTAGTGTTCTAGAGGGGTAATAGGGTACTATGAGCTCTTTAAGATATGAAGGGGCCTGACCATGAAGAGCTTTGTAGGTGAGGAGGAGGATTTTAAATTCTATTCTACATTTTACAGGCAGCCAGTGCAGAGAAGCTAGTACAGGAGAGATGTGATCTCTTTTTCTAGTTCCTGTCAGTACTCGTGCTGCAGCGTTCTGAATTAATTGGAGCGTTTTAATGGACTTATTGGGGCAACCTGATAATAAAGAGTTGCAGTAATCCAGCCTTGAAGTAACAAATGCATGGATTAGTTTTTCTGCATCTGTCTGTGATAGTATGTCTAATTTTTGTAATATTAGGTAAATGAAAGAAGGCAGTCCTAGAGGTCTGCTTCATGTGGGAGTTAAAAGACAAATCCTGATCAAAGATAACTCCAAGATTCCTGACAGTGGTGCTAGAGGCCAAGGTAATGCCATCTAGAGTAACTATATCTTTAGACAGTGAGTCTCTAAGGTTTTTGGGGCCCAGAACAAGAATTTCAGTTTTTTCTGAGTTTAACATCAGAAAATTGCAGCTCATCCAGGATTTTATGTCCTTAAGACATGTTTGTAATTTGGATAATTGATTAATTTCATCGGGCTTGATCGGTAGATATAACTGCGTATCATCTGCATAATAGTGAAAGTTAATGGGGTGATTCCTAATAATGTTGCCTAAAGGGAGCATATATAAAGTAAATAGTATTGGTCCAAGTACAGAACCTTGTGGAACTCCATGACTAACTGTAGTATTTATTGAAGATTCATCATTAACATGTACAAACTGCGAACAATCTGATAAATATGACTTAAACCAGCTTAGTGCGGTTCCCTATAATGCCAATTTGATGCTCAAGTCTCTGTAAAAGAATATTATGGTCAATGGTGTCAAATGCAGCACTAAGATCTAATAATACAAGTACAGAGACAAGTCCATTGTCAGAACCAGTCAAAAGGTCATTATTAACTTTAACCAGAGCTGTCTCTGTGCTGTGATGAACTCTAAATCCTGACTGAAAATCCTCCAATAAACTATTGTTATGTAGAAAGTCACACAACTCTTTGGCGACTACTTTCTCCAGAATCTTAGAGAGGAAGGGGAGGTTAGAGATTGGTCTATAGTTGGCTAAAACCCCTGGGTCAAGAGTGGGCTTTTTAAGAAGGGGTTTAATTACAGCTACTTTAAAGGACTGTGGTACATATCCTGATAATAAAGATTAATCATATCCAGTAAAGAAGTGCCAATTAAGGGAACAACTTCCGGGTCTAATAGACAGGTTGATGGCTTTGATGAAGAAATGATTGAAGTTAACTGATGAAGATCGATAGCAGAAAAACAGTCTAAATATATATCTAAGTTTACATTAGCAAAAGTCCCTGAACTTGGAGAGCCACTGATAACTGTTGATGGCAGTTGGTGATTAATTTTTTCTCTAATAGTAATAATTTTATTATAGAAGAAGCTCATGAAGTCATTGCTACTTAAGTTTATGGGGATATGTGGCTCAATAGAGCTGTGACTCTCTGTCAGCCTGGCTACAGTGCTGAAGAGGAACCTAGGGTTATTCTTATTTTCTTCTACTAGTGCTGAGTAATAGGCTCCTCTGGCATTACGGAGGGCCTTTCTATAAGTTTTAAGATTATCTTGCCAATTTGAGCGATATTCTGATAATTTGGAAGATCGCCATTTCCTTTCAGATTTCCTAGCTATTTGTTTTAACTGGCGGGTTTGGTGGTTATACCAAGGTGCTATTCTCCTATGTTTTAATAATTTCCTTTTTATAGGAGCGATAGAGTCTAATGGCTCACTACTAATCGTAGTGAGCCTGTAGCACTATCAACAAGATTATCAATTTCAGAGGGACTAAAGTCGTTATAGGATTCTGTTAAATTCAGACATGGCATTGAATTAAACACTGAAGGAATCCCCTCCTTAAATTTAGCTACAGCACTGTCAGATAGACATCTGCTGTAGGAAGTTTTGCCTAATGGCTTATAATCTAATAATATGAATTCAAAAGTTATTAAATAATGGTCAGATAGGAAAGGATTATGTGGGAAGACTATTAAATGTTCAATATCAATGCCATATGATAAAACAAGGTCAAGAGTGTGATTAAAACAATGAGTTGGTTTATTTACACTCTGACAGAAGCCAATTGAGTCTATTAATGATATAAATGCATTACTAAGGCTGTCATTGTCAACATCCACATGAATATTAAAATCACCTACAATAATTACTTTATCTGATTTAAGGACTAAACTTGATAGAAACTCTGAGAATTCAGATATAAAATCAGAGTACGGTCCAGGAGTGCGGTACACTATAACAAATAGAACTGGCTGCAGTGTTTTCCAGTTTGGGTGAGAAAGACTAAGAACAAGGCTTTCAAATGAATTATAATTTAGTTTAGGTTTAGGGTCCATTTAAACGCTCGAATCATATATAGCTGCCACTCCACCTCCTTGGCCTGTGCCTCGAGGAATGTGAGTATTAATATGACTGGGGGGGGTGGATTCATTTAGGCTAACATACTCCTCGTGGGACAACCAGGTCTCAGTAAGACAAAGTAAATCAATATCATAATCTGATATTAATTCATTCACTAGAACAGCTTTAGAGGACAGAGACCTGATATTTAACAGCCCACATTTCATTCTCTTATTTTGTGCTACTGAGGAGTTAGTTTGAATTTTTATTAGATTTTTATGTTGAACTCCTCTTGTTTTTATTTCTTTAAATAATTTAGGTGGTCGGGGGACAGACACAGTCTCTATGGGGTTTTGGGTGGGTGACTGTTCTAAAGAAAGCGCAGAGAAGTGTGTAAGACAGCAGCTCTGCTTCCTGGTCCTAACTCTGGACTGTCAGGTTTTAGAGATAAACTTCACCATATTTCTAGATAAGAGAGCCGCTCCATCCAAAGTGGGATGGATGCCGTCTCTCCTAATCAGACCAGGTTTTCCCCAAAAAGGCTTCCAGTTATCAATGAAGCCCACATCGTTCGCTGGACACCACCTCGACAGCCAGCGGTGGAATGACGACATGCGGCTATACATGTCATCACTGGTCACATTGGGGAGGGGTCCAGAGAAAACTACGGTGTCCGACATTGTCTTAGCATAGTTACACACCGACTCCACATTAATCTTAGTGACCTCCGATTGGCGTAAACGGGTGTCGTTACCGCCGACGTGGATAACAATCTTACTGTATTTACGTTTATCTTTAGCCAGCAGTAAATAAACTACACTTAATACAAGAACCATTATCATTAAAGGAGGCAGAGGAATAACTGAACATCTGACACACTGAGCAGGACAGAGGAGAGGGAGAGGGAGAAGCCATAGCTAACTGCTAATGTTAATGAAGCTAGCGTGTATGAGGAACTTTGAAAGTAGTGAAAAAGTCGCTAAAAGGAGAAACTCCGAGTGCTTAGGTAGAACTAGTCTACGTTTAAATGTTAAGCGGGAAAGTAACCGCTGTAACGAGTAAAACAATAGTACAATTCAGTTTTTAAACCGTTCACATCCTCTCTGATGAAGCTGAAATTAATAATATTATTAATAATGATCATTATAATTATAATATTATTAATAATAATCACAAGAATTATAATATTATTAATAATGATCATAATTATAACATTATTAATAATGATCATAATAATTATATTATTAATAATGATCATAATAATTATAATATTATTAATAATGATCATAATTATAAGACACAAATGATGATTATATCTGATCTAATGTTATAAACTGCATTTATATTGTATTTGTCCCAATTTACTGTACCTTTGTATCTAGCTGCACTGCTAAATGCTAACAGGAATGCTAACATAGTGTTAGCTCTCTGGCTCGTAGCATAGTGTTAGCTCTATTGTTATTTAAAAGTAAAACACTGTAATGTGGATGTAACCATAGGAACCGGAGCGGTGTATCACAGAGGAGGAAAATGGCCGCCCTCTCACTGACTGAAACTCTCCGTCTGTTCCTGCAGAGAATCGACCGTTCATCAAACCTCCGCTGCTCTTCTGAGAGCGGATCTGTCCTCAGAGGAAGAGGAGGAGGAGGAAGAGGAGGAGCTATAGCGGACACAAACAGACGATGGGCGTATAAAAAAGAAAAGAGGAACTAAATACTCAAAATCCCATCAGCCACCTCTTCCTGCTTCCTGTTTTTAATGATTTCTTAATATTTTTATTATTATTATTATGATTATTATTAGAGAGAACAGCCTGAAGTGGGAGGGGTTTAAATGTTACATGACCATCTGTGATGTCATCAGAAGCCCCGCTGACCTGTAGGGGGCGGAGTCTGTTTGTTTACTGCTGTAAAACTTTATTAATGTTGTAGTCCAGGTGTTACCTGCTGTAGTGCTGCAGTTAATAGTAGAAGTACTTTTACTCTTCCTTTGTTTGATTCTCGCTGTAACAAGTTATCTTAACGAGCTCTGATCTTAACGAGCTCTGAACTTAACGAGCTCTGATCTTAACGAGCTCTGATCTTAACAAGCTCTGATTTTCTGAACTTAAACGAGCTCTGATCTTAACGAGCTCTGATCTTAACAAGCTCTGAACTTAACGAGCTCTGATCTTAACGAGCTCTGATCTTAACGAGCTCTGATCTTAACAAGCTCTGATCTTAACGAGCTCTGATCTTAACGAGCTCTGAACTTAACGAGCTCTGATCTTAACGAGCTCTGATCTTAACGAGCTCTGATCTTAACGAGCTCTGATCTTAACGAGCTCTGATCTTAACGAGCTCTGATCTTAACGAGCTCTGACCATTAAAGGGGAGGTATTGTGTGTTGGTCTCAGGAGTATTTACACGTAACGATGTGTAAACTCCCTCCGATCGATCTGTCCATCAGGAAACAGAAATAACGTTGAGTTAACTAACCACTGAATAAAATAATAATATTAATAATAAAACTCATTTACGTCAATTGTTAGTTTGCTAGAGCTTTGCTAACATTAGCTTTAGCTAAATAGTTACCTAGCTACAGAGTAAAATGCTAGCTAGCTAACTAGCTAATGTAGTTGTAAAGTTTAGCTTCAACCTCGTTCTTATAAGCTAACAAGCTAACGGACTGAAGCTGTTCACAAGCACTGGTTGCAGTCGGCCAATCAGAAGACAGCAGGCTTTAGGGAGGGCGGGGCTTGTTTCAGGACCAATATCAGATCAATAAAGATGATTGTGAAGACGGGATGAGCAGAATACTTCCCCTTTAATCATAATGAATTTATTTAACTGTTTCCTGTTTAATAAAAGCAGCAGAAGAAGAAACTGATGATTAAAACTTTCAATTAAACTATTGTTGTCTTTTTTCTTTCACCACTGATCCTCTCACTGACCTTTACCCTCTCACTGACCTTTACCCTCTCACTGACCTTTACCCTCTCTCACTGACCTTTATCCTCTCTCACTGACCTTATCCTCTCTCACTGACCTTTACCCTCTCACTGACCTTTACCCTCTCTCACTGACCTTTACCCTCTCCACTGACCTTTACCCTCTCACTGACCTTTATCCTCTCACTGACCTTTACCCTCTCACTGACCTTTACCCTCTCACTGACCTTTACCCTCACTGACCTTTACCCTCTCACTGACCTTTATCCTCTGTCACTGACCTTTACCCTCTCTCACTGACCTTTATCCTCTCACTGACCTTTACCCTCTCACTGACCTTTATCCTCTCACTGACCTTTACCCTCTCACTGACCTTTACCCTCTCACTGACCTTTACCCTCTCACTGACCTTTACCCTCTGTCACTGACCTTTATCCTCTCACTGACCTTTACCCTCTCTCACTGACCTTTACCCTCTCACTGACCTTTACCCTCTCTCACTGACCTTTACCCTCTCACTGACCTTTACCCTCTCACTGACCTTTATCCTCTCACTGACCTTTACCCTCTCACTGACCTTTACCCTCTCACTGACCTTTATCCTCTCACTGACCTTTACCCTCACTGACCTTTACCCTCTGTCACTGACCTTTACCCTCTCACTGACCTTTATCCTCTCACTGACCTTTACCCTCACTGACCTTTACCCTCTGTCACTGACCTTTACCCTCTCACTGACCTTTATCCTCTCACTGACCTTTACCCTCACTGACCTTTACCCTCTGTCACTGACCTTTATCCTCTCACTGACCTTTATCCTCTCACTGACCTTTACCCTCACTGACCTTTACCCTCTGTCACTGACCTTTACCCTCTCACTGACCTTTACCCTCACTGACCTTTACCCTCTCACTGACCTTTACCCTCTGTCACTGACCTTTACCCTCTGTCACTGACCTTTATCCTCTCACTGACCTTTACCCTCACTGACCTTTACCCTCTCACTGACCTTTACCCTCACTGACCTTTACCCTCTCACTGACCTTTACCCTCTGTCACTGACCTTTACCCTCTGTCACTGACCTTTATCCTCTCACTGACCTTTACCCTCTATCACTGACCTTTACCCTCACTGACCTTTATCCTCTCACTGACCTTTACCCTCGTCACTGAGTTGGACGTAAACAGCTGTTAATAATAAACCAGCTATATGGCGTCGCCCGCCGACCCCGGGGTCAGAGGTCATGGTTACAGTATTAGTACCTGCAGGTTCAGCTGGTTTGTGGGAAAATAAATTCCTCTTGACAGAAATATAAAAACAACAATGATTATAATAAAAGTGCTGCAGGTTCTCCAAATCAGCACAACGAAGCGAAAACCGCTTTGTTCTACATGTTGGGACTGTAGACCTCCGCCCAGAACATTGACCTTCGCCTGCAGTCTAAAGCTCCTGGGTTACCAATGTAAACACTAACACTTCTTTGCTCCTCTGAGATATTATATATATATATATATATATATATATAAACTTAGCACAAAAAGTAAGGAAATTTGTGTTTGGTTGATTATTTCTCTGTGGTAACAATGCTTTTTGGCAATAGATCTTATACCGTTGGAAAGCCTGTTTAGTTCCCTTTCAAACGGTGCCCCATTTGTACAGCACGCCCAAGCTGATCCCACAAGTGTTCAGTGGGGTTGAGGTCAGGACTGCTGGCAGGCCATTCCATCCTCTCCACTCTCACATTCTGGAGGTAGTCTCTGATAAACCCCGCCCTGTGGGGGCGAGCGCTGTCATCTTGGAGGATAGAGTTCGGTCCCAGACTGTGGAGATATGGGATTGCCACTGGTTGCAGAATCTCATCTCTATATCTCTCTGCATTGAGATTGCCTCCAATGATGACAAGCCTCGTTTTTCCAGGGAGGGAGATGCCGCCCCACACCATCACACTGCCTCCACCAAAAGATGTTATTCTATCGGTGCAGCAATCAGCATAGTGTTCTCCGCGTCTTCTCCACACATTGACCCTACAATCCAACTGCCATAGGCAGAATCTGGACTCATCACTGAACATAACGTTACTCCACATGTTCAGGTTCCAGTGCACGTGTTGCCGACACCAGCGCAAACGGGCCTGATGGTGAAGGGCAGTCATGGCAGGACTCCTGGCAACCCTATGAGACCGGGGATTGGCTGCGTATAGTCTGTTCCGGATTGTCTGGGCAGAGAGCCGTCGGCCATATCGTCCTGCAAACCTTGACTGCATATCTGTAGAAGACAGCCTACGGCACCTAAGTGCTAACAGGGTGAGGAAATGGTCTTCTTGGGGTGTCGTCTTCTCAGGCACCTGATTGGCAGCACCTGGGGGTACCAGAAGCTCAAAACAAGTGTCAATAGCAACAGCAAAATAACCTGTTTGGCAATGGCAGAAAAGATTTGGCAAATCTTTCATGGGCGCAACCCACATACTCAGCGCTGCTGCTCATCCCACAAGTGCATGTTTCTTACAAATGGGGCACCGTTTGAAAGGGAACTAAACAGGCTTTCCAACGGTATAAGATTTATTGCCAAAAAGCATTGTTACCACAGAGAAATAATCTACCAAACACAAATTTCCTTACTTTTTGTGCTAAGTTTATATATACAGTAACAGAATTTATCCTCCACAAACATTTGGTGACCACCGGAAATGTGTGTGTGTGTGTGTGTGTGTGAGTGATGGATGAAGGTGTGAATTGTGTCGTGACATTAACCCACTGTGTTTTAGCCCAGTTTCACACTCATACCTTGTTCCCACGGCGACCCAGTTCAGTAAATGAGAACGTTGGGTCACCTTTTGGCTTCACCGCACACACACAGACTTATATCATTCTGTGTGTGTGTGTGTGTGTGTGTGTGCGGTGGGATCTGATTGGTCCGTTAAGTCTGTCACTGTGATGGATGAGACCAACGGAGCAGGACGGCACTGAAGTCGACCAATCAGAGTAACTGTGTTACAGTTAAAAATATAAACACTAACATACACACATAAATATAAAACCACTGGAATTACTTATTTTATTATATTATATATTTTTAATGATAACACCATAAATCTACTGTGTCCTTTAACTTTGATCTTCCATCAGCTGAATGACTCTCTCTCTCTCTATCTCCCCCTGGTGGCTGACTGCAGTATAGATTCTCTCTAATTAAATAGTTATTTGAAGATATAAAAAGGGGATTATCTGATATACAGACTCTGAGTGGAGAATAATGGCAGCGGCCGTATCTGGATATTCTGTTTCATTAGGACAGGAAGTGGAGACAGCAGCCATCTTTATCTGTTGCCTCTGCGATGGGAAATGTTCTGCATGTGTTTCAGCTTGGCTGCCTTTCATTAGTCGTTCACTCGCCCTCGGGGGAATTCCCGCCGCCATCATAAGTGTCGTTCCACTTGTCTGTAAACTGAAGTGAACTTGGTGAGATGGACCCTCGGAGGGCTGAGGGAGCGACTGAACAATGATGGTCACTCCGAGGTGGATATCACCCACAATGCATTGCAGTTTACGTCATTGCCGCTATAACGCCGAGTAAGGGCAAGTGCGTTTCATTTAAATCTCCCGCTCCTCCCCCGCCCACTTTCCCTCCGCGCTCCAAGTGGCCTCCGTGCAACGTATGCCGTTACGTCATACCAAGGGCTGAGGGGAAGTGGAACTACTAATGAAACGCAGCCAATATGTCTGTAGTATGTATGTAATCTAATCTAATAATAAATATTAAATAAACACATTTAAAAGACTGAAGAAGGCTTTTAACTTTATAGACAAACGTTAACGTCATCTATCTAATCAATCTTTAAGGTCGGTCTGAATTTGAGGCCTAAAATGAGAGATTTGGATTTTAGATGTTTAAAGTGAACACAGCCTGATTCTACAGCCAGAGTTTGGTTTGTCCGTTCTGGGCTTCTGTAGAAACATGGCGGTCCAACATGGCGGACTCCGCCAGCAGAGGAACCTCTGTAGATAAAAATGTCTCATTTTAAAGTAACAATAAGAAAATGATTCTAATTATCAGCTGATTGAAAACTAATGAAACTATAATATTAATGTTTCACACTGGAGCTTTAATGGTTAAAATTCAACATCAGACTAAATAAGTTTAACTATTATTTTAAATAAAGTTTGATGTTCTCTGAATATAATTATTATATAAATATTCTGGACTAAATAAATAAATCAGGTTGTAAATAAAAACATCAAAAACAAAACAAACTTTGATGTTCGTCCAGCTGATAAATTGACTTCCTGTCAGAGCTGCTGGTGGGCGGAGCTCTGAGACCTCGTTAACATCTCGTTAGCGTCAGAAACACATTCCTCCGTCCCACTGTCCGTCCACACACACACACACACACACACACACACACACACACACACACAGGCTAATTAAGACACACTCGTTAACGTTGTTGATGCTAATTAGGAGGGTTAATGAGTCCAGTTGTCCATCAGAGTTAAACATCATCAACAACAAACAGTTTGATCTCTTAACGAGCTGCTGCGTCTGAACGAGCTTAACGACTCCTGTAACAACAGCAGCTCCTTAACGAGAACAACAAA